TGTGTGTGTGGCAGTTTTAAGTTACTAGTTTTTTTTATTTTTTTTTAAAGATTTTATTTATTTATCAGAGAGAGAGAGACAGAGGCAGGCAGAGGGAGAAGCAGGCTCCTTGCTCAGCAAAGAGCCCGATGTGGGACTCGATCCTAGGACCCTGGGATCATGACCTGAGCCGAAGGCAGACGCTTAGCGGACTGAGCCACCCAGGCGTCCCTAAGTTACTAGTTTTTAAAATCAGTACTTTTTAATGGAAACAACTTGACCAAAAATCTGTCACAGAATTTTGAGACCCATTAAAACAAAAGTTTAATGAGAAACGTGTCTTCTTTTGGTCAACACTGTAACCTTTTGTATAGTACTATTCAGGTAAAAGTAGGTGTTGCACAGACCCTATTTCTAATGTTAAAATATACTGAAACTTAAATTTGGGTTAACGTTTTTTTCATGGGTGGGAACTTGAGCATTTTCACCTTTTCTAAGGGAAAGAAACTCTAATAGTAAAAAGCTACGGGGAAAAGGGGTCTGTTGGTGCAACACAGAACAGGTAAGCAAAGAGTAACACCACAAGATAGTTACAAAACAGGTTAAATTCTGTAATACCAAAGTCATTATGTTGCATATAAGACTTGTATTATATCACATGCAGTAAACTTGTTATATTGTCACACACACACACACACACACACAAAAACGGAGGTGAAGAGTGATTTGCCCAACAGCACTGTGGTAGATGTGATAGATTCCGAAGATGACTACTGCCTACTCTTTGGAATCTGTGATATGTTAGATTAAATGGCCAAGGGGGATTAAGATTACAGATGAAATTAAGTTTGCTAATCACTAAATTTGACACTTAAAGGGGGAGATTATCCTGGATTATTTGGTTGGGCCCAGTGAAATCACAAGGGTCCTTATAAGTGGAAGGGGAAGCAGAAGAGTGTGTCAGTGATGTGATGTGAAAAAGATTCAGCTGGCCATTGCTAGCTTTGAAGGTGGAAAGGGGCCAAGAGCCAAGGAACGTAAAAGTCAAATAAATTCTCCCTTGGAGCCTCCCGAAAGGAACACAGTCCTGCTGACACCTTAATTTTAGCCCAGTGAGAACTGTGATGGCTTTCTCACCTAAGACAAAAACAAAAACAAAAAAAAAAACTTTGTAAGATAATAAATTTGTGTTGTTTTAAAACACTTTGTTGTAGCAGCAATAGGGAACTAACGTCCTCACAGGGTAAAACAAGAAGTCAGGTATCAACTCCCAAAGCAAGGCACATTCCACTAAAAGAAACATTGAAAAATACACCTGCCAAAAGGGAATAGAAAACTCTAAGACACTTGAAATTCCAGAAACTGGCAACCTCAGTTGGAAATAAATTATAAACAATGTCATCTGTATGTCAGGCCCTGCAAACATAGCTACCCTGTGTGGACTTGCATCTTGACTATGCCTGTATGACTCCAGGGGGAGCCATTCCTGAAGACCCGGCTGTCCAAAAGAACTTTTCTGTATTGATGGAAATGTTTTGTCTGCTATCCACTAGCCCCATGTGGATATTGAGCATTTGGAATGTGATTAATGTGACTGCATTTTGAATATTTCATTTTCATTAATTTGAATAGCCACATGAGGCTGGTGGCTGTTTTATTGGATAGCACAGATGTAAATTATTCTTCGAGTAACCTAGAGTTGTGCATATAACGGCACTGGTGGAAATGCTTTCTAAGTTAAATACTGAAATCTAACTCAAACTGTGTGAAGCTAAAAAAAAAAAAAAAAGGTTATGAGGATGCAGAGTGACCCACAGACACCAAAAACAGGAATGCACCTGGGCCCAGTAATAAGGGGTCTGGAACTCAAATGTTATCAAAACTCTTGCTCTTAGCCCTGCTTTCTTTACCCAATTTTCTTTTCTAACCTAATTCATATTGTAATAGGCCACGGTCAGTAGTTACTAGATTTACATCTTAGTTGAAGAGTGTAGTTGGACCAAACAAGAATCATTCTGATTCTAAATTCCCAAGAGGAATTGTGGTCAAATTATGGTTTCTTTAGTAATAATGTAAGAGAGTTTCCGTAAAAAGGAAGATGCAGACAAAATCCTTTGTCAAACACAGTCAAGATTTTTATCAGATCAAAATCAGGGGCGCTTGGGTGGCTCAGTGTTTAAGCGTCTGCCTTCAGCTCAGGTCATGATCCCAGAGTCCTGGGATTGAGCAGTGCATCAGCCTCCCTGCTAACCAGGAAGCCTGCTTCTTCCCCTCTCCCACTCCCCCTGCTT